TGCTCCGAAACTCTTACATCATACGAAATCGAAATGAGAAAGACAGATTTAATTTATTAGTTTAGCGTCTGATACCTCCCATGTAAACGGCCAGTAGGTGAAGAGGCGTTGAATTTGGTGAAGCGAAGGAGTAACAGCATCTGAAAAATAAAAGTGTCAATCATCATTTTAGAATGACACATATGATGGGTGTTTTTTCGTGGATCATGATCAGTGGCAGCAACAGCTACCGAATCGCCGCGGTGAAGCTGGTATGTGAATAATTTGGTAAGGGTAAATGAAGGCGGGTTTGCTGCCCAATCGTCATGGCGACACGAAGAGGGAAGTGGGAAGGGGGAATTAAGTAAAGGGATTGAGTGGAAAGAAGGAAGGTGGAAGTGGTGAGGAATAAAACAACTGTTTCTTGTAGATGAATAGTGTACTTTTCTGTAGCCATTTCTGATGATGTTTTTTTAATCTACAAGCATTCGAAATGCTGGTTGGTGCTTCGCAGAGGTTGCTGATACACCACCGCCATCCTTGCGTAGCTGTCCTTCGATAATAGGCGCTTAATAGGATATAAGTAGTATGCACAACTGAAGATAGTGATGCGTTGATAGACTTCGCTAAGGGGTCTTTTGCCCTCTTTGAATGACTAGGCGAATTTGATTGGTCATCATAATCAAATAGAGGTTTGGGAGTGTCCAATTTGTGGCGAACTTTTTTTGTCGGAGGACTGGTGGGCGCTTCCGTATAACTTTTTCTTTCCTCTTTATCTACCTCTCTTTCTCCCACACTTTCTTTCGTCCAGAAGCCCGCGAAACCATTAGTCAACTGGCCAACTGTGAAGTTGCTAAACCATCACCCATTGCGGTAGAAAAAGTGTTCAGTTTTCCTTATTTCGTGCCAAATTGCACACTCATCTCCTCTACTGGTAAATTACCAAGGGATCGAGTTTCCTTCTTTCCGAAAAGACACTTGTCTCAGTCACGACTCTCATTTGTGTTCACTTTTCCATGTAAACTCAACGTCACGCATATGTGACACACATCAGTTACCACGATTTGTTTGCACCAATTCATGCAGCATGCGGAGTGTTTGGGTGCAAAGCAATGCAGTAGGCGTGACAAGTTGTCATTAGGTTGGATAAGCTGGGCAAAGGTAGTTGAATTGACACGACATGAGGTGGCGCGTGTTCAGACAAATGGGGGGAGCGTGTAATAGTTGCTCCTCCACGTGTCCCCTCCCCACCTCTTCTTTATCATGGCATCGCCTTCCCCCCCCCCTCCCCCAGCCTTTGCCGTGACGGACACGATCACAGAACGCGGGAGGCTTAGCTGTTCAATGGATTTGAAGGTCTCAAATTGTTGATGTGGACCGGCAACCTCATGACTTTGTCGTCTTCACCAACGTACACCTCATGCAGCTGCATTTCCCCTTTCTAGTGTATTCCTCCATTACATTTTCAGCAAAGCCCTGATGTGCCACAAGATATTTCTGCCTAGCACCATTTTCACCATTTTTTTAAACAGAGAGCTCAAGTGTTCTGTAATTTTATTCCAACATTTCCTGTCAAAAATGTCTGCCATTTTATCATCGTTCTACTTTTTTTGCCTGTGCGTGTTAAAATATGGCAGCGTGACTGGTGGTCACCTTCTGTCTGATTTTTCCACGCACATACACACGCTTACAAAGACAGAAAAAGCAAAAAAACTATTTTCTTTTTATTCCGGCAGTGAACTGAAGTAACACCTTATTATCGTGATTACCTCCTTACCTGATAAATAAAATCTTGAAACATGTTTTTGCCCTAACAACACCCCTTCCCTTATTATCATGAGATGTTTTGAAGAAGTGTGACACCTAATTGCCACTTAACTCACTTTTTTTTGTTCCGAATCTGGGCTATTAAAATGACTTCTTTGGCAGCTTCCTGGTTAATTAGCCTTAGGTAGACCTCCGCCATCTGTAGAAGGCCTGGATGACTTTAACAGAGCTTATTACGTGACCTCGGATGACTTTACTACTTACTTTTGCAGGCTTGGTGCAGACAGAGGGGCACAAACCAGTAGGCTAGGCTTGGAAGACTCCTACAATTGGGTAAATCACCATGGTAACTGCAGCCAAATTATCCTTTGGAAATGCAGGATGTTAAAGTGAATGCGATGTATGAACTATTTACCTTTAAAAGTTATATTTTGCCAAATCAGTGGAAAATTCGGACTATTTTAGCAGTGCACACATATAGGTGAGGCCGAAAAGGCACCTCGTGGTGCACAATGCGCAGGACAGATTGTGCTTAAAATTCTGCAGTAATGAAGAAAAGGCAAAGCACTTTTTTTCCGTTTTTTTTTTCACACAAAAAAGCATTCTGTCCATGACTCACCAAGTTTGGCAGACCGAAACAGAGGAGGAGGCCAAATTTGGAATGTTTTACAACACCTGTCTTGAGGACATTTTATTGGTTACTGACGTGTGACCTCGACTGCACCAATCGGATTTTTGCGGAGAAGTCAGATCAATAATTTTACATTTTGTTAGAACCACAACAGATTTGCGGGGAAAAATGAATGCCAATAACTGAAAAGAAATTATTTTGTGCATCCCTTTGACATTTATAAGCGTCATAGTTGCCAACACACAATAATTCACTTTTGCATGCCGGTTAATTTTGGGGTGCTCAATCCCATAAACTTGATTAATTCAGTGTAGTAAAAGTCAGCTGTTAGGCTTTCCACATGGACCTTCGGGTACTCCTAAAGGCGGATGAAGGCAAATAAATTTGAAGGCGACACTTATTTGGGAAAATATGTTTTTTAACTTAAAATAACTAACTGGTGTGCGGGGGCTGGGTGGAGGGGTAATTACTTGCGAACGCGGGCCAGTCTTGATGAACAACGCATTGGTGCCCTTTTGGTGTTTTCGCAACTAAGTTGATGATTTATTCTTTAGGTTTTAAAAAGGTGCTAATTAATCTTACAATTTTGGCGCCTTTTCAATCTTCGTGCCATTGGAGGTGGTAGGAGAAAGCACGTGATTCAGGACGCTATCTTGTGCGACTACGTCCTGGTGCAAACATTCATCTTCCAAACTTTAAGTGCATTATTATTTCATTACTAGCGACACATATATGTGACACCTAGAATTTTGCCCCCCGAACCTACAAGTCACGAACACCTGACATGTGACTAGTGTGAGTTTATGAGTCCGGTTGAGAGGTTTTAGCAGCCAGCTTGATCGGTACAACGAAATTGCCAGGAATTGTCAGATTTCCCCTAAGGCGGTTCCGACACAGGACATCCCCACTTGGACCACATCTCTGAATGGCAATTTATTTTATTCCTCAGCATTAATTAAGCCTTGTTTGTCTCTACTCCTGTCATCCATTATGAAATTCGGCGTGCTTCTTCACCCCCACCCCTCACCACCCCCCTCCGCACATTTTAAAAATGCAGGCGATTCAGCTGATTGAACGGCGTGGGACACTAAATCCTCCCTCGAGGCTTAGAATCTTCAATAAATTCCTTTTTTTATTACGAAAAATTCCCTTTTTTCCCCTTCTCATAATATGCTTTTTTGTCATGCTTCTCACGTGACCGCAGGAAGCATGCCGCTCCCATCACGTAAATGCTTCCATCGCGTGGGCAACATCCTGAAGAGTAGGCTGTGTTCCCCCGCCCCACCCCTCGCCCACCTTTCCATTCTCCACACTTCCTCAAAAGTCTCGCCATCTCATTGGTTGGCGTAGCGTGCAAACGTGTGGCTATCGATTATTCCGTATTCCGTGCACGTGCATTTGCGGGCAGAGGTGCATACGTGTGTGCGCGCGGGAATTGAATTGGTGTGTGAGCGGATGAATCGTCCCATTCCTTCATCCCCTCTTTTGTGCAGCCACTTCAGCTATTTCGCCACTGGATGTGCAATTCTCGGACTTTGTTGGGGGAAAAGGAGATTTGTGGGCAGCTCCTCATCCTCATAAGGCTTTTCAAAAGAGAAGTACTTCCCCTCGCTCAGAATCCGACGTCAGTTTATATCTGTTCAAACTGGAGACCAATTTTAACGATAGAATAGGTTATAATCTAAGTAACAAGCTCTTTTAAGTCGAATCTAGACAGACAAGAAGTTCTCTGTATTTAAATGCACTTCGCGAGGACTAGTCGGTGCAGGGAAGTGTGTCATCTGGAAGTAGGGGACAGCGATTTGATGAAATTTACTTAAATGCACCGAATGGAGGCACGGAAGCCGACCTCCATAACCACTTGAACTATCTGGATATGAGGCGTTTAATGATTGTCAGGAACCTATCTCTGGAATTTCAGCTCTTTCTTACAGGGGGATTTATGCGATAAAGCATTAGAAATTGCCAAATTCTTAAGAAAGAATACTGAGTCCCTAGGCAAGTTCGTTTGTCCACTTAAATAATAAAATAAGCAGAGATCTTACAGGCTTTTGGACTGAAGGACGCTGCCAGTTAGTTAGCCCCAAACAGGTCTGAGGAAGTACGAAATAAGTTTATCAGGAGGCCAAATAGCCCTTACGGTTCTTGCTGTGATGGAAACCGGTAGACTGACTGAAAGTGCCACCGATAAATGGTTGAAGCCATCTACTTTCGACGACAAACCACTCAAAGTTAAATACACCACGTTCTGAATGACCTTCTGGTCTTGGTGGTGGTGGTAGTGACGAAGTACGTGTGATTATCGTGCAAAGTGCTTCAAGAGTGACGTGGTAAGGGGCGACTGACGGAAATTTTTCAATTTGAATGCTGTGACAGTGCAATCACATCTACATCGACAGGGAAAAGGAGGATGGGAAAGTGAAGATCCTGGGTTTTGTCCACTTGTAATGGCATTTAATGCACACCACTTCCCATGCCCTTCAATTTAATCATTTTAGACAACTTAAATGTACTGATTTAAACTGTTTACGAATACGTTCCCTGGTTCGTGCGATAGGTGGCATTTGTACCTTACCCTGCTTCACTACTAAGGGAGGGATAAATACACCCGGAAAAAAATTCTAAACCAGCCAAGAAAAGTCAATCAGATGGGAAAAAACCCCCCCTTTCAGGAAGTTTACTTACAGTAAAACTCCATCCCAAACATTAGGACTCTAGAGAGGGCGATATGGCCTCACCCTTCATGTTATCCTCGGTGATGGAAGTCACGTTATCATGGGATTAACCAGCTGAGACAGGAAACCAAGGCAACAAATGGAGGCAGATCGAGATGGGCTACCAACCTTCAAACACTGAAGATCTTGCTGAAGAGAAATTTAGAGCAAGCTCATGCCTCTTTTCTCAAATGACCACTTTATCTAATGACGCATATTGAGGAGTTTTCTGCATTTACCGACGCAAACCAATTTCACAAACTCATGTTAATGACTATGGTTGCAGCAAGAATGATCTGAACAGTCGAGATGGGTTTTTTTGTCACGCTGACCCGCAGCAGAAACACTGAGGTGAGAAAAATAAGGATATCGTGCCAAAATGGTAAATTTATTTTGGTAATTGAAAGGATTATATCCACTAAAAACAGACTACGTTATAACCACGCGGCATTAAACAAATCTACAAATACATACGTCACACACATGCTACTTAGTCGACAAAAGTAGACGATCTGCCTGAGAGTGCTATGGTTGCCTACTGGACGGTTGCGAGACGCCCAAACCAACCATTGACTCCATTTATTACTCCGTTCACGCGGCAATACAAGACATACCTGCTATTTGCCTGAATACAAACTTTTGTAGTAGCCGGCTGAAGTCGTTATAAGTAGTATTGCCCCGTGGGCAAAACTAGGCGAAGGGGCCGTACGACGGAGGTCAAGCCCATGCGTTAGTCACCATCACGATTTTAGCGACGTACGCCGGAAAGATATGAGCCCTCTCCAGTAATTTCTTAACAAAAGTTGGCGAGGCGTTTTCATGTACAGTCAAATTCTTTTGTACACAAAGAAAGGGAAAGTTTGTCTATTTTAATTCCAAGAGGTCATTCGGAGTAAAAACGCATAATCTTCTCCCAAATAGTGCCTTCTGGGGATGCTTCGTATTCCGTTCCAGCCGCTGTCGCCACGACGCCAGCATCTAAGAAGCGCAAAAAGGTTGGGAAAAAAAGTCCAGAAATTGTTTGACGCAAATAGTAAAAAGGGGCGGGCAGTTACAGCGTTCAGTTCACGTCGAAGAGAAACCACTGTTTTCTTAGCCGTTTTCTTCACACGTTTACGATTCCCACCGTCGTTATCATCGTCACTAGAATGAGAAAGCAGCATACTACTTGTTTCGGAGGAACAGTAGCACATAGCTAGCACTGGGGATCCAAGGTGCGGTGGGACAATTACACACAACTTTGAAAGGGGATGAAAAAGCGGCAAAGCTAACAATCTACCAAGAGAGAGGGAGGCAAGACATGATTGAGGTAGGATAACTTGGCTATAAAGCCAAAGGATTTACCAATTTCAGCTAGCTAAATAATGACTAGCAGGACCTACCTCGAAAGACCCAAGTCCGAATCTAGATCAATGTCGGCTTCACGGGCAGTGCGAAGAAACCACTCACGATCGGCGGCTTTCTTAGACGCGCCATGTTCAATCTCATCCATCTCGCGCATTAGGCGGACAATGGAGCGAAATTCGGCCACTTCTTCGGTGGTGGCAGTTGGCTTCAGTTCGGGCAAGTGTAGAGCATCACCATCTGAAATAGGTGAGATTAAGAGAGACTACCACCAGCAAAAGACAGCTTACAATAATCCGCCCTAAATACACTGGGCGGAGGCAATTTCTCCCTACAACAATCTGCATGGAAAAAAAGAAAGTGGATGGAAAAATCAAAACGCTAAAGAAAACGAAGTATTTTATTGTCCTATGCGGACCTAACGCACAAACCGGTACACTAACTCAGAATAGACATCAAATGTTAGAAACCAGAGAGAAATGAAACAGACACGAAAGACATGCTACTAACAGCTAAAATGAGTAGGCAACCTTCGGAAAGATGATGTAAATTGCGAGCCAGTTTGCGCCACCGTAGAACATCCCCCGGGGCTAGCATCACCACACTCCGTCCTGATCGATTAGCCCGTGCCGTTCGGCCACATCGATGGATGTAGATTTCGGTGGTGCGAGGCACATCGAAATGCACCACCCAGGCGACCTCACATGAGGCGAAATCGAGGCCTCGAGCTGCTACGTCTGTAGCCACTATCACGGCTGCATTACTAGCTAGAGGGCAGATTTGGAAGTCAAGCTTAGAACTTAACGAGGGAGATAAGAAACAGCTGTGTTACTTTCAATACCTTGGAAACGTTCCAGAGAACGAAGCCTCTGTTTTTGTAGCATATCAGCATGTAGGACACAGAGATAAGGCGATATCTCACCACACTGACGTAAAACGCCAGCTAGTCTTCGAGCTCCTGATTTGCTGTTCAAAAAAATTAGAGCTCGGCCGCTATTGACCACCCGTGCGGCTAGTAGGAGCCAGACTAGAAGGACATCCTTGTCCACCTGATTTGGACAAGAGAGACGATATTCAGAGAGTCCGGAGGGAAGACAAACGGTATTCTTGGGTGCTTCTGGAGCATTATCTGAGGCGCCTATTTTGCCAATCAGCTCCGGAGGTGCAGAAGAGGAAAGATCAACCACCTTGGCACGGGCTGCTAGACCTAGCATATCGCGAAGGAAACCTGAAAAATAACGAGGAAGCTAATACCTATGGAAATAAGAGTAGAAGGAGTAGATACTACTACTACTACTACTCACTCAGCAAATTTCAGTCAGACTTACCAAGTTTGGCATGGACGTCCATCTTTTTTCCAGTTGCAAATTTCTTTATATGTTTATTCGAGTGTGTGCCAGGCATGAGAGCATTACTGTGGACAAATGTCAAAGTGGCTGAGAAGACAAAAGTTTGTCGCTTCAAATCCGCCGGTTTGTTTTTCAGAAATTGCAAAATTGATCTTAATTCCACAAAATGCTGTGATTCAACTAATCTATCAGCTTCGTCAAAAACCACCGCTGAAAGCGTTTGCGGCATGGAGACGAGAGTTTCGTTTTCCTGAAGACATGGAGTTAACTAATGGAGGAATTTAAGTAGATTTACCTGCTGAATGAATTCCCACAAACGACCGGGAGTCGCAACAAGTATGTCTGGACGACGCTGCCGTAGAATGCGCTCCTGTTTTTGAACAGAGATTCCACCGACAATGGCTTCGATTGTGACTCCAGGTGGTGTCATATGTTTAGCCAGTGCTCGCAGATGTGTTGTCACCTAGAAAGTAAGGTAGAGATTTTTGCGTCCCAAGGCACGAAGGCGTGCTATCATGACGGTACCGCAGAAAGTGCTACGTGGCAACTGTTTCCCAAAGGCAATATTTGTCGTATATATGCCGTGAAGAAGTCTAGTGCTAACACCGATAACCAAAACAATTGACAACAGTAGTGATGGTGCAAGCAGCAGAGTATGGTGGTGAACGAAGCTTAGAGTAAGTGGATATCTTTCGATATGCTCACCTGAAGGGCTAATTCGCGAGTTGGAAGAATGACCAAGCCTAGAACGCCGCCGTCGGAAGGTACAGCGCCATTAAAAGACTCCTCGGAGTGCATAACAGCTGACTTCTTTGACAAATCGTGCACTTTAACAACATCCATGGTGTCTGGGTCGAGTTCTTCAATTAAAGCCAACTCCTCCATTACTTTACGACGCTTCATTTCACCTCGAGATGAGTTGGCATGCAATCCCGAGAGTGAAGCACTTCTCACGCGTTCTAGTGTTAAAGAAGAGATAGGGGTGTAATCAACAGGGTAAAGTAGTTTCATTTAAATACAAAAAGGACTGAATAAACTAACTTTTTGCCTTTTTCGACAGTTTTGGAGAAGTTTGCGTTTCCTGCGAACCGAGTGCAAGACTAGACTGAATCTAGAAGAACTACATGGATTTTGCGAAGTGACAAACCTTTGTAGCAAATCTAAGCTTTGCCTCCCGAACACGAACTAAAACAGGGACGCCAAAAGCTAAGGTCTTCCCACTCCCCTAGAAATTTAAAAGAAAAAGTACAGAACACTGCAAACACAATAAAAGTGTTGTCTCAAGCATAGGAGAAAAGGTTATTTTACTCTGTCCCGTACAACATATCAAAGCATTATTGAAAAGAAATCTAGATTCACGATTATTGGATCGCGACAATAGTCCAAAAAGATCACCACTATAAGAAGCTGGCGTTTTGGTTAAATAACTATAAATGTAAACAACCACCAAGAGGTTGGCAAAAGTAAGCGCTTTTTATGTCAACTAATTGCAAAAACCGATAAATACTGGTTGGCACAACATGCAAGCAGTCCTTCATTCATAGATAAAGAAATAATAAAGAAGTTGTAGGATATTTCTGACCTGATAATAAGTTCAAAACAAGACAAAGTATCTTACTGTTGGAGCGGAGCCCAAAATATCTGCGCGATTACGGAGAGCGAGAGGAATAACTTGCCATTGAATTGGAGTTGGTTCCTTAAAATCCAATTCCTCGATTGCCTTCAGAATGTCTTCTGGTATAAAGAGCGACTTCCACATTTGCAAAATTTAAAAGAACACTAAAATCTATTTGAGTAAAACTTATTAAATTGCAATCAAAGCGAAAGCAACAATAAACAAGGTAGTAAAAGAGGGAATAGAGCATCAGTAAAGCACAGACCACAACTGCAGAAAATATAACAAAATACTTCACAGAGCTACAGAACAAACACGCAGTTTAACACACAAGCAGTAATTATTGAGCATCAAGGCTTGATACACCAGAGCAAAGAAAGAACAAAAAACAGCCGCCCACACCAAAACAACCACATGTGGTCGAACAGCGGCACTTCAAAGCCGCTTCTGAAAATTAAGACAATTAAAATACGGAACCCTCTACACTTGCTTACATTAAAAGGATAAAGACAAAAAAAACCTAAAACCAAAATTTGGTTATAGAGCTCAAATTAAAATTCGTGCTGTTCTAAAATGTGTGCATAAAGGCTGATCATACGTGAGTCTTGAATACGCTTTCGTGTAAGTGGCGTTATCCATAAAAGCAACTGATAAAAAGGACGCAATTTTTATTGCTGCAAAGGTGCTTAAAAATAATGCCACAGCCAGTTTGTATCTTTATGGCACACAGCAACTTTTTTGGATAATTTAAAATGAAAATGTAAGGTTAGTTCTTAGCGTTGAGTCGCCGGTGCATTCGTCATTTCTCAAACGTATTGTAACGAAAATTGTACTTTTAGTTCATTTAAAGGATCACTGCATGTCTTGGCTACTGCACCCTCTCCAGATATTCTGGCTTCTTGGTCATGCAAGCAAACCCAACCCCGTTCTCTGTGTCGGATATATATTCTGTCCAAGCGCCATATCTTTTTTTGTTTTTGGGCAAGGTTGAAGCATTGCGGAAAGTACACTAAGCCAGATGGGAAAACTGCCTTACTTCATTTACTGGATTGTAAAGAGTGGTAGAGCCATGCCAGTAGCCCCAAGTCCTACAGTACCCTGAATGCACATAATCCGCCTGATAATTGTGACTTCTTCATCTTCAAGGAAGTGCCAGGGTGTTATACAGTATTCTATTAAAACGCGTATTGTTATTTTACATCAATTAACCAAATTCTAAATATCGCCATAATTTTAAGGTGTTTCGATATTCTTACTGTAAAGAACAGATAACATTTTTTGTTAATTCGCTTTATAGATTAAAAATTCAAATGCATTTGTACGGCTCTGCTTTGCTGTGTACAATTAAATCAAATTAAGATAAACATCTAGAGCTAGTGTGCACCCATCCTCTCTGACCCAAATACTGTGATAGCTTAAAAATTTTACTGTGGGTTTATCTTGACTTTGATGCACCTTTAATTATTTTAATGTGGCATTTAACGTTTTGATATCTTATTTATCTGGCGTCATTATCAAATCTTCCAGTTTGCCTGTGCGTGTTTCGTTATCATGGGAAAAAAGGGCAAAAAGAATCGTTTTAATCAAGTTCTCGATATTGATATCAGCTATTCCAGTAGCAGTGTAAGAGTGTCCAGGTTATTTTGCTTCCGTCTCTCAATGAAACTTTGTACGAACTATGCAGCGCTTACATGTTTCTACATTTGTGTTTAGTGTTATTATATGAAACTGTCTGCTGCTGTTGTGTGATATCACTCGCGTTTTCAGGAGGCTTTTTTCTTCGTATGTGCTGCGCTACCCCTGGGTTTCTTTTGATTTTTTTAGGTCCTTGATGGTGCCGCAACAATTCCATCTGATCTCCATCTTTCAAAGGAAAAGGTGACAGAGCTTCAGCGCATCAAAGCTCAGCTTCCATCCGCACCACAGGCTGTTCGACTCGAAGAAGACATCGCTCGTATCCCAGACACCGGCCCCTTTCGCCTCGTACTTGTTAATGTTGCCTTCTCCGCAACCCGCAGAGAAATTGAGGAGTAAGTAGTCTGAAAGACTATTCATCATCCTAGTGTTTCAGCTTATATGCCAACGGTGGATTTCTGTACTGCATTTGCCTTTAGGTTTTTCCTTCCCATTCACCCGCTTTATATTCGCACCGTCGAGGAAGATGGTCAGTTTCGTGGTTACTGTTTTGTGGATTTTGCCTCTAAGGCGGATTTGGGTACAGCAATGGAGAAGAATGGTGCCTTTCTTCTTAACCGTCGTGTGACTATGCGTATAGCTGATCAGGTGAGTTTGACAGATCATCAGATCTATTCCCTTTTTGTGCATGTTCTAATCGCTGTCCTCGTATATTTTAGAACGACACTAGCAATAGACGCGGATATGGCGGCCGCGATGGCTTTAATTCTCGTCGATCCGATTACAGGAGGTAACTTTTTAATAATTAGACTATTTGAGTGTCCCGCAAAAGGGAGGATGATTAGCCTTACCTTATCCATCTTAAAAATTTGTTTAGTCTACCCACTGAGTTATCACCTGAACTATTTTTGCCAATCGCAACTATTAAGATCATATGCACTATCATAGTTGTGTGTATTTGAACCGCTTGCGAGGTGTTAATGAACGGGGCAACTGGCTTCAATTTGTAGCGACTTATTATTAGAAAACTTATCCGGTCATACATATCAATTCTTTTCTTGGATCTTTCATTTAGCTGAGCAATATTTGAGATGAACTCTCTCTCGGCCATTCTAGATGTTCATAAATTAAAGCTTAGTTTCACTCCTTTACGGCATTAGTGTTGACTGCTGATTCCTTGTTTACCTTGACGTCTTAGGTGAAGATTTGAGTATTTGGATAACTCCATTATTGGAGCATGGGAGATCCGTAAAATTGGAGGCACGATCGTCTTGGGGTTGCAATGTGCGTGTGTAACCGGTGCAGAGGGTATATGGCTGATGTACTTGGTCCAGTTTTTCAAGGGTTAATCTCAATGTCATTGGCTGTTTTAAGTCTTCTTTGTGTCGGTGGGCAGTTCGCCGCCTTAAAATTCTCGCAAATCATACTGCACTTGGTTTGTGTGATACCAGAAGCCGTGTTAGCGGTGTTTTCAACACGTTCACCACTAAACTATCGGTCCGCGTAGCCTCTACATTGGCCTGTTCTAAAGTAACACAGGCTTTAATTAGTTTTCACGTGAATCAATTTGTTTCTGAACTACTTGAAAAGCCCACCAGTTCAGGAGTATTTATCGCTTGTTTTGTTTAGTGTGGTCCCTTATCGTTAGACCCACGAAGAGTACTTTTAACACACATGACGTAAAAGTCAACTAATTAGGCTTCACGTGGTTGAAGGTGATAAATAAGGTGCTAGTGGAACCCGTCTGATCCTACTAAACTCTCTCAGCCGCGGCTTTGATGCGGCCGGTGAGGGTGGCGCCGACCCCTCGGGTTGGACTCGTCGGGCGGTGCGTCCTCCTCCTCCTCCTCCAGTGGCTGTGGCAGGACCGCTCCCCGAACGTCCCATCATTCGTCTCCAACCGCGCACGAAACCTCTCAATGGAAATGCGGACGAGGTCGCCACGTCTGCTCGTCACGCCGCTATCTTTGGTGCCGCCAAACCGGTCGATACTGCAGCAATGGAGCGGCAAATCGAGGAGGTAGGGTCGTTAATTCGCTTCATAGCTGTGCCTACTCTTTGCTTTAACGTCTCATATGACATCTCTGTAGAGTGGGCTTCCTTTTTGTCGAGAGGTCTCATTGCATTTACTTTCACTGCCCCATGTTTAGCATTTGGTTTATACGTATTGTAAACACGACTAGAACGGCGATAGATAACGCCACTCTAGCATCCAGGTATAACATTCTTCTGCCGTTCGTTTGAGTAGGTTTCCAGTTTTTTCTACTTATTACTAGTAAGTAGAGCGTTACACTATCAAATGACCCAGTTGCCTCCTGTCATTCCCATTTATGCCTACATATTCCTACCCCCAGCTACATTGAGTCATCTCAGTGGGTTTATGCGTTTCCTGTCTTTTACCTAGAAAATGGCAAAGACCTCTCTCCAAACCGAAAAACCACAGACAACAGTGAAAGAACCCGCTCCCCCTGCCACCGTAAGTGCTATTTCATCTGCTCACCTTCCCTAGGGAAAACGAATTCATATTTGGCCCCGCTTTCTTCCTTACTTCAGCTAATTTTCTTGTCGCGTTCGTTCTATTTATTCCAATGTTCTCAGCCCAAATTCTTGGGTGATATTGACGCATTTACAAAACTTTTGCACCTCTTAGGTACAGCAAGAGGCACGAACGGAAGAAAAACCACGACAACAACAACCACCTCGTCAAAATGCGTGGGCAAAGCCATTGGTGACGACGCGGAACTAGAGGCGCGTCTTCAACACCATCCAGCTAGTTGCCTTAACTGCCATTCACTGGGTCACTTATTTCGTCCCCTCTCATCATCCACCCCTCGGCTATCCCATCTTCTTTCAGCTGCTAGTTCGTCTGTCAGTATCCACCTGTTCCCGCCAACATTAGTCTCCACCTCTCTCGGGTCTATCCGTGTGTGTGTATAGAGATGTTTCTGTACTGGGAAACAGAATCCCCTTTCGATGGTGGAAGTAATTGTCGTGTTTTTTACGCAGAAGGGTGCGGAAAGGGTGGGGATCCGGCGTCCCCTTGGTGCTGCCTCGCGTAGTACGCGTGGTGGGAGTAGCAGATGGTCAATACAGACTTTCAGCGAAGTGGGGCCACTGGGTGCCATGGTGCTGAGGCCTGTGATCTGGTTATCACTCGGTGGGTTTGTGCGGACCTGTTCGGAGGATACTAGCTAGAAATCAAATTTGAGCTGGCGATAGCACGTCCACGTTGGGAACATTGTGGTTTGATTAATACGAAGCCTTTCACTGCACAAAGAAAAGCAAAAAAATCACATCCTTGCAGTGAAGTGAAATGATGTGTGTTCCTGTATAGTGTTTCGATAGTTTAATCAGCTATCTAGATTGAACTTTTAACAGGAGGCACAAGCGAAAGTTCACCCAAATGTCAATAATCTGTGTTTTGCCTTGCTAACGCTGCCTCATGTAGGCTTAAGCTAAATGAATGTGATGTAGATAATACTTAATTTTGTACAACAACAAGGCTTGTTTGTTTACAGCTTATTATTTTGTAGGAAGCACAGCTTTCGGAGCGATATAGTGTGGGAATATGTAGACTTACTGCAAAAGCCAAAATATCCTATGATACACGGAAGTAATAAGGCTGCTTGCAGAGACAGAAGCGCTACAACTTTCTTGAATTTAAGGTCCAATCTAATAAAAATCTGCAGATGCATATTGTTAGAAGTGTGAACACCAAGTCACTGATTTTCCACAAGTGAGAATCAAAATTTAATATTTTATTAAACGTGTGCTGCCTTATGACATTCCTTAACAACAAAAACGTGGCTAATTTGGTATGCTTCTTTTGTGTTTATATTAGTGGGTTTGTTGTCTCGATGTGAATGTGGCATTTCAAATGCAGTGCAGCCTTTGAGGTGTTTGCAATTGAGTGGAGCTGTCTAGTGTTCGGTTAAATTCTGCTTGCCTGTACTTGGATACACCATATTCATTTTCGACGAAGGAAATCTCATACTTTGGGGCATTATTCTATTATTACAGAAAATTACTGCCGAATATGAGATTTTAAAGGAATAGAGATTATTAATATTTGGATTTTGCAAAATAAATCTAGAGACGCGCCCTCCCTAACAATCGCTTCTTGCGACTACATTTTTCTCGTATTTATTTTTATTCATCTAACCTACCTGTAAACCGTTTTTGCTACATATAGCGTCAATTCTTATCCCCGTTTTCTTACCCAATTTCGGCTGTTTTTTATTTGCAGGCTTACTATGATAGGTCACCGCTTAACTGAAGCGATGATTTTGAGGCGGGCTCAAAAAGAGAATTTGGAACATGTTAAGCGAGTCAACCTCTGGTATGCTTCAACCAAATATTACGTTTTTATTTAGGGGCTTACGGATTTGTGACGCCTCCCTTCTCCAAAATGTACCAACGCTTGAAGTCGTTTCATTGAGGTTGCTTTCATCATTGACCTTTTTTCTTATTTTAAACTACTCTTTCTCCCTCTGTAGTTCCAACAACATTTCAAGCCTTGAGGCCTTTTCCTTTTGTGTGAATCTAAAGGAGCTCTATCTTCGCAACAATGCAATTTTCGACCTCAATGAAGTTCGCCATCTTAGCAGTTTAGCTTTTCTGCACACTTTGTTCCTACTTGGCAATCCTTGCTGCTATCCCCCAAGTAAAAAGTCGATTGCTTGATTTTGTGCTATCCTTAAAACCTAGACATGGAGAGGATTGATATGTCGACGGAGACATCTGAACATTATCGACCCACGGTGATAAAACATGTGCCATCTTTGGAGCGTCTTGATTTGAAATGTAAGCAAGTATTGAGGTTCCTTATTGTGTCATTCTTGAGCCAATACAGAAACCTTTTCGCAAAGCTTTAATACTTCTTCTTATTTAGAGAAAGTGGATTAAACATTTTTTTTTCCAATTCTCCAGTCAAGGTGTTTTTAGAAGTAGCATGACCATCATTGGCTCCCAACCAGCCATTTCCCGGTTGCAAGAGATGTCGTATTCGTGTTGAAAAATTGTAGGACCTCACCTTGGTAACCTTCTCGATCCAGGATTTTGCACCTTTGATTACCACTGACAGGATATAGACTGGTGCTTTGATTTTATGATCCTGTAGGAGAGAAAAGAGGAGACATGGCAATTTTTTCCTTAAAGAAAACACCTTTACAATGTTATGTCTTCCATTACGAGACTGAAGCTTACTTCGAACTCAGCTTTAAATAGCACTTTAATTTGGAGGGCATGTGCTTTAGCTCTAGTTACCTTTTTCTGTTCTTCATGAGCTGTCAAGTCTACTTTCCCATTGTTGACCGCTACTTGAAGAAATACTATCAGTGGAAATAGGAGGGTGCAAGAACTCTTTTTCTCTCTCCCCTTTACGTGACAAACAGTGAGAGGTATAGTGTCTCTTCTGAGATGGCTTTTCGAATCGTTACCATTTATCTCAAAACTGAGTTATCCTCGAAGATGGAATGCAGCTTTACAGAAGGACCTAAAGCCTTGAAACTGCCTTGGAATGAGAGGAGGGTAGTTTTTCATGACACTGTCCTATAAACTGGAAGAGTTGATTTGTTTGCCGAGCTATTTTAAAATCAACTAATCTTCTACTGAATGGATTAATCAAAGAGTAGCTGTCAAGAAAATGAAGGTGCGAGACCGAAAGGACTGTTATTCTCTTTCTTGCATTTTAGTGGTTTCAGAAGACGAGAAGTTGGCAGCTAGACATTCAACTTTGAGAACTTCTCTTCCCATTGGCAATAATGTGGAGGATGATGGTGATGAGGAGGAAGGAGCGGAGAAGGAGAACTGTGTAACAGGAAATGATTTGCCATTGGAAGCAAATTTACAAAATGTACGTCCTTTCCTTTTTTACTTACCTGGTCCCATATGCCACCTCGTAGTTTTTATAAGACATAGATTAGTAAAGTAGTTGTGACTTGTGACAGGTTAAAAGGGTACAAGTAAGAGAACTTATTTCTTATCTAGGAGAGACTTGTCTCTGGTGACGGCCCTGATGTCACTTTCAAGGAGGATATCTGTCCAGACACGGCTGTTCGGATGTTGTAAGTTTTTTGGGAATCCTTATGTTTGCTTTTTAAAGAAATAAAGACAAACTATACTTCCGTGTTTTATTTAAGAATCCGTTTACTTTGGCCTATTTTTTATCTGCATAAACGGGAGACCTATTTCGCTAAAAATGTCAAAAAACGTTAATAAAACTTCTAAGTCGTTTTTAACATCCATCACTGACGATCTGCGCCCCAATTTTCCACATCACATATATGCGAAAAAGCGCCTTGTCACTTTCTAACCAAACAGATGGCATAAGTCGGCGGATGGGGTATTCGTTGGTTCACCCTCTAACCCCAGTACTTCGATAGGGGGCTCGTCAATCGCCCCAAATATCAGCACTTTGGACCGTGCTGATGGCAGCCCTCTCAGTTGCGAGTCGGACGGTTCGGTGCCTCAGTACTGATCTTGTACTCTTGGATCGTCCAAGTTGAAACATGCCAATAAATCTCTCGTTCCAGGGACTTGACAATCGCCTCTACCCTCCCTATGTATACTGGCACATAACGTCATCTTATAAGTTTACCATTTTTGACCTTACTCGTTGATGGTGATGATGCAGCCTTTCTGGTAGAGATCAAAAGCTCTTGACTATCGGTTGATAATATGTTCGAGGGATCATCCAGTCAATGGGTCTCAGTGATTTACAGGTACTACGATGAGAAGAGGATGTGATTACCTCTCCTTATAGGTAACAACACGTCCGTAGGGTTCTTTGGGTGCATTCCACTCCCTCAATCGGCTTGCATCATGGGCCGTGTTGGCCACACCTTGCTACTGAATTCAATAAGTAGGCTAAGCAAATCCCGTTCTCTCTTAGGGGTGAAACTCCGCACCTCTCAGGTACCGGTGAGAATGTGGCGTCTATTCGTCAGACAATTTCGAACCTCTCGTTATTAAATAAACAAGTGAGTCACATTTTGTTCCTTTGATAACTAAGGAAAATGGTTTTCCTGCTTTTTCAAACAACTTAAAATTAGGCCAAATTGTGGGAAAGCGTGTACGAATTTTGGTGATTCACTAAAA